GAACCTCTTACGACATTGTCGACTAGACAATGTCGTCTGGCGTCTCCTCGGGGGAGGGCCTTCTCTGTAGCGGCCCTGGCCCTATGGAACGATCTACCCCCTGAGATCCGGACCCTCCCCACTCTCTCGGCCTTCCGAAAGTCTACTAAGACTTGGCTATTCCGGCAGGCCTGGGGCTGTTGACCTCTTGAATGAGGGCCAGCCCCACTAAGGCTGAGTGCATGATGTATTTTTTTAACTTGCTTTGTCTCTCTATTTTAATTTTTTTTAGTATTCTTTTAGAGTTGTTTTTTATGTAAGCCGCCCGGAGTCCTCCAGGATTGGGCGGCATATAAATTCATTAAACTTTGAACTTGAACTAAACTTTGAAACTTTAAAATCTTACAGTATTAAAATAATAAATAACTTCAAATCAGGGTTAAATGCTTTATATTTCATCTTAGGTCCATAGTTTCAGTAGTTCTCAAAGCTTGCCTGCAATGCTATATTAATTAGTGTTTAACTTAGGGGGGTACTATGAAAATAATAACTTATCTGGCTTTAGTTATTCTACTAAAGTATTTTTCACACCTGAATTTTTGGCCTTCTGCAGCTAGCTTCCTACGTTTGGGAGGGTCTATATCAATATGTAGAATATTTTTCAAGATCTCAAGATTCTTCTTCTTTTCTAAAGAAAGTTCCTCTTCTTCCTCTGTTACCAATTTCTTTGATTCCTCTGACAGGAAAAAAATGGAACAGACTTAGTTATTGAATTCACAGAACTGATATCAATTGCACTCAGCCATTACATCAAATTGTATATTATTTTAACACATGACTCAATATTAGCTTAAAGGTTGTGCAGGACAGAACACATGAGTACTTGGATTAAAGAAAAAAAAATGTAGTTGTATGTTAAAAGATTTTAGTGCTTTAATATTATAGTATTGGGTTGGTAATTTTAGGTATTTTTTTAAATATCTCACTTGTTTCAATGTTATTTCCTGAAATAGTTATAAATAGTATCACTGTTATTTATATTGATCTAGGACCAAAACAACAATTAGAATTTTATCACCTTGAACCAAACTAAATTTGAAGGATTACTTATTAAGATGCAGGATCGACTGACACTGATTTGTAACCAAATTTGTGTAAATTGAGGCTTGCTTATAAGACCAAATCAATAGATTCAGTCACTGCCCAGGCTTAAACACACTAGCTGTGTTAGGACAACGTACATCATTATGAATCTGGATGAAAATAAGATTCAGACAGAAATAGCTCCAAAATTGTCTATGTTAATTAAACTATATTTTATTGTCCAAAAGTATTTTCTTTAAGATTAGCTAAAACTTCCCCATTATCTATGCTTAAGAAAAGAAAATGAATGCATGTAAATCTGATTCTCACTGCAACTATTTTGTACAATGAAGAAATCAAATTTTGTTACATTCAGATGAATTTCCCCCCTCTGTATATATTTTCTTCATACTTTGGTTAGGTTTAATTTAAGATCCCTATTTCTATTTTTCAGATCAAAAGATAGGTCCTCAATAATCACTATCCACTGTCTACATATAATTATTACTAAGATTATTAGATTTTTATCACACTTATTATATATATATATAGGACAATTCAAGGTGGTAAACATACCTAATACTTTTCCTTCCTCCTATTTTCCCCACAATAATGACCCTGTAAAGTAGGTTGGGCTGAGAGAGAGTAATTGGCTCAAAGTCACATAGCTGGCTTTCATGACTAAGGCAGGACTAGAATTCACTATATCCTGGTTTCTAGGCCCGGAGCTTAACTATTGGCTTTCCAGAGAGATAGTAATATCTCTATGCCAATAGTAATGTGTTGTGGCTCGGTAGGAGCCTTTGGAGCTGCTATCAGACTCTGAGAAGATAACAAGCAGCTGTGGCTCNTCTTCTTCTTTTTAGCTTTACTATTTGATGTAAATAAGGATGTGTTAATTGCTAATATTTGACTGATCAAATATATAATTTTACACAAGTAATTTGTATTATACCAAATGAACCAAAGAAATACAAATGCAGATACTTCCACAATCCATTTTTGTTAATGTATTTAATATATAAATCCCAGTAAACACAATAACCTAACTTGGGTTATTTTTTCACATAGTAAAATACTTGCATTGGTTTATAATCCAATTCAAAAAAAGTATAACATTTAATTTCAACATAGGATGGATGACCAATGTGTCTTTTAAAAAAGGAATCCATTACTTTTCGAAGTCCTGACAATTAAGAAACATTTTAAAATTGCAACTTTCTTCTGAAATGCCTCCAAAGTAAAGATTTTCTTCTCATTCATTCATTCCAATTCTTAATTAAAAACTGAAATATTTTATTCATTTGCTGAATAAAATAAATATTTGACTCTAAACAGTTACAGAGTTGAAATAGTAAACTGGTCAATGAAAAGACAGCTTAATTCTCATAATCAGCTACTGATGGAATCGTTACCTTTCTTTTTCAGCATTAACTGGCTTTTTTTCAAACACTGCATGATCTTGCCTTGTGGGGTCATAGCGTAAGGTATTCATATCTCTATAAATAAATAATATTTATATTTATAACAATAAAAAGAATTAAGCATCCTTAAGTAAATTTAGATACCATTAAAAATTCCATGGCATAAAATTTTTCATTCTATGACAACATTTCTAAGCATGTCGAGGAACAAACTATATATAAATCAACAAAATGTCAAATAATTTTGAAAAAAAAACTTACAGAAGTCTACATTTCTACTTAAAAGTAATCCTACTGAGTTGAATGGAAAAAAATGGGTTTAAGATTGTAGTCTTAATTAACAATGTTATGCTATCTTTGTTCACAATCAGCTATACATGTATTTTTTTATAAGTGTCAACAGGGGTGGGTTCCTGCCAGTTCTAACCTTTTCTATAGAAGAGTTCCATAAATCCACAGTGCCGTTTAGAACTGGTGCCAGCTCCCTCCCCCCACCCATCCGCACATCATCAAGATGAAGAGTGAG